GTGGGCAGTTCAATATTAAAAGTACATGTACATGTATGCATACACACAACTGACGTATGTGTACCAGTGAAATGAAAGAGGTACTGCACGCAGGGTACCAGTCCTTCAGGCTGAGAATATGCATTAGTCTCCATTCCAGCTTTGATTTCATTCTTTATCGTGAATACCATGTCGTACATGTTCCAAGCATACATGCGGAATTGCGTGCAGTTCGGAACCAGACTCATTCGGAGGTAAACTTGCGCTGCAAGCAGCACTGCTATATACATATGTGTCCTGTATGTACCGTACGATCTAGGTACGTGATTTTGCCGCGGCCGAGCGTGAATTGTTGACGCACATTTTCTGCATTTCTGTCGTCGTCTCGGCAGGTCTCGGGTGGGAGATCCGAGACCTCGGCATCCGAGACCAAGACCGAGACCAGCCCTCCCGAGACCAAGACCGAGACCGAGACCTCAAAAAAAAACCTCTGGAGACCTCCAACACTGGCGCACACTAGCCACTCAAAATCAAGGCGAAGAGTGACCTCACAAGGTTTAAGAAATATGCAAATCAGCTGAACCAGGATGAATGCATTAGTGCAACTACGTGTATGGGCTGAAGCTTATGTTTCAGCGGACAAGATTTCTAGTGCACAACCTCGTATGTGAATATGAATAGATGGAGGTGCGCAATGAGTGCATAGTGACCAATCTCAGCTAAGTATACATAGGGCCTATGCATAATGCATCAACGTGAACTGGCATGAATGACAACAATGCAAAATGGCAGACCTTCAAAGACGACTGCAGCATGACGAGTTGTCTTGTTGCTAGAATTCTGCTGCTGATAAATTAATGTTGAGTAATTTTTGTGCCGAGCAGCGGCAAGCCTGACAATACTTTCTGCGGGGCCACAACGTTTTCTTGCATTGCCAACAGACTACGAGAAATCTGTTATTTTTCAGGCTGCACCTTTCTTTTGGGAATTCCTCAGACCAGACATAAAGCCCATAGTGTTAGTCAAGTTGTGACACCTGTCATTTAATTTGTCAATGCAAAACTGGAGGTCGCCAACTAAGTCTGTATTGCAACTGATGAAGCCAGATGGCGTTGTTCACTAATTGAAATCCTTGGTATAAAAATCAATTATGATCAGTGAAACAAAGCAAAGGCGAACTCAATCTCTGATTACCCTGATAAGCTGGCAAAATTTATATTGTTGACTTGTCATGAACATGTATAGCCACATGTCCATTCAGTTAACCTTTCATCCTACGAACGACTTGAATTATGTACTTACTGTGAACCAATACAAAAGGCGTCATTAGCATAATGACACCGCCCAATACAGCTTCCACATAGACAGTTGCACCAAAGCATTCATCATGGTTCAGCTGATTTGCATATTTCTTAGAACATGCGAGGTCGCTCTTCACCTTGATTTAGAGCGGCTGGTGCGCGCTGCGCTGTGATGAATAACGAACGCCTTGACCAAGGCTAGGTCATATACAGTACACATACAAATATATTCACACCCGTACCTGTTTGGTCATGACGTGACATGACCAAACACAGGGTCATTCCATTTTTATATACCAAGGGTATTAAAGTAAAATCATTCCCTACCAAGGGATTCGCAAACTGTTGCATATGTGAGTCCTCAACACTAGGGCTGAGTCAATTGGAATAATTGACTATTCAAATATGTGGCCTTCATTTCAATCGCATATTCAAATATTCATTCATACTGGCAAGTGGATCATCGATGAACAAACCACATACAAAATCAGTTGCAAGAATGCACACAGTTTTACATTATGACTACATGTACATGTATAATCACTTCTCACTTTTATTTCAAGTTGAAATACTGCCAAGAAGGTGTCATATTTTATTTCAACAGTCTGTATCAATACATGTACATCATTATTACAAAGAATTCTATCTTGGCTAATCATGCATATACAATGTATTTGCTAATTAAAAAGCTATTTCCATATTTTAGGATGGATTCTATAATAGACTGTTGGACATATCTGCGGCCTTCAAGTGAGATTTTTCTCATTTAAAAAAGGAAATTCTCGAATTTTGCATTCGAACGTTCAAATCTGAAAAATAGTAATCAATTATTTGCTAATTGATGGAATATTCAAATATTTGGATATTCAGCACAGCCCTACTCAACACACACATGTACAAAATCTCTCACAAAAGAGGCCGAAATGGCGTTAGGGAGTCAGATTGTGCCAAATGTCTCTACATGTAGAATTCAAATTTTCCAGGGCTTTCTAAAAGGCCTAGAACCTCACGCCGTGAGGGCTTTGTACTAACAGTGTTCTCGCTCCCAAGTCAGCTATCCAGTTATATTTTTTGCTTGCACCTGCTAGGCCTATTCAAAAGACTCTGGAAAACATTGCCATAATGAGATCAAAGTAAATCAAACTTATGATCTTAACATAAGTGATGATGTAATTATTGCTTGATCAAGGGACAATGGCACAATCTAGCAACACCGCTAAATTTTGTGCTGATCCCCAACATGGCTACTCTTAGTTGCTCTCATGCTGGTATCCTAACTAACAGGGCTAGAGCTAACCCCAGAGAGTGGTCCAGAGACCCGCTTGCTATATCTTTGTACAAACATTGCTTCCGGGGTTCAGTGAAACAGCTCACAAAAATCCCTGAAATTTGAAAGGCCAGGAACTGTTTTTAGCTTCTGAGCCAAAAAGCTTAATGTCAACCCGTGTCTTTATCTATAAATACTTTCACGCCATCTGTGATACACAGTCCCACGTTTCGGCCAGTGTTTAGGTATGTGGCAAAAATTCGAAGTTGTTAAATGCCACCATAATGTAAACCAGTGGAAAGGTCCCTCCTCTGACAAAAAATAAGTTATAGCAAGAAAGAAACATGAGCTGGGGCCATTATTTTGTCTTGTACGCTTAATACAAATACACAGAATGGATTAAGACTGAAACAAAAAATCCTTTTAGGTTTCAGAAAGCATGATAGCAAGAGTCAGAAAATAAACTTGGAAAGAAAAGATGAAAAACAAAAGAAAAAAGTATTTAAAATCTTTACAATAATAAGTAAATAAATATTACGATTTATAATTCCCTTAAAATCCATGACCACTGGAATTCAGAAAAACAAGTCAGCTGAGAAAAGCTGATGACAGACTGTTAGCCAATCAGGAAGTGGTATTCAGATCGCATGACTCACAATTAACTTACAGCTTCATTTTCCCAATAAAAGTTCAGCGATATAATTTTTTCCATCTTCAAACAACGAAGTTAAAATTGTCATTTTCAATAAAAAATTTATCGTAAATACATCTATAAACTCTAGCAAATCCATTAAATTTAATCAGAAACAATAGAAACAACAATTTCATAATTGTAGCGAAAATCATTCTGAAAATCATACCACATAGGCATAAAGCTGACATCACATACATATCCTGAGGGCCGAAAAAAACACAATGTGTGAATCGATAAATCCTGTCAAATTTCAACTAAAAATAATTAATCACAGAAAAGTGAAAGCGTAAAGTCATCTTTGATAAAATCATCGACATGATCGAAGGTTTTGACGATCATTCTGATGCGATATTTTACCTGGTTGAGAAGAGGGAATTTCAACTGGTTTTTCGAAAATATTTTCTGAACAAAATAAATGGCCGACCTGCAACTGCATCATCAAACTTTGTGTACTTCATGTAGAAAGAAAAGGATGTTCTACATAATTTTGGTTATTTTTAGAAATGGGGAAATACCAACCAGGCCAACACTGCCATACAGGAGTGCTAAAATCAGGCCAGTGAAAAAAAAGAAAAACAAGGCTGTGTACAAACTGACAAAATCGATAGTGCTGTTCAGTGAAATTTGCCACATACATTGTACCTACAGTGTTACACATGTTGTTACTGGCCAGTAGTAGGCATGGTAGGTCTAATAGGCCTAGACCTACTAAATGACAATAGGTTGTAATTCGGAAGCGCCGATCTGCACAACACTGGTATCTCTACCAGCGTATTAAAAGCGACATCAACCTAAAAATCTCTCCATGCTGGTCACAAAAAAAGCAAACAAACCATTCGTCCATGAAGCTGTATATTAATCAAACAGTGAGAAAAGAGTGGGAAGTGGCCCTATTATGCTCATAACAAATCTCATTCACTCCTTGCAAAGAAATCTAATTCATGGCAGAAATCTTTTTGGAATAATCCAGGAAAAAACAACCCTGTGAGCAAAAGGATAAAATTGACCGATTATTCCTTAAACCTCACATGCACAGACTGGTTTCCCTTATTTTCTCAGCC